TATGCTTAGGCCTTAAAGTAGTCCCTATATAGGTACTTTAGGCTCAAAGTGCTCATACAGATACATGGACCCTTAGGGTTCTACAAGGGGGATGGCAGGACTCGAGGATGTCGACCGTTTTGGGGCTAACCCATTTTACTTCAAGGCTCCTCCAATCAAGAGGTACAGTGCCTCTTAGGAATTTTAGGGTTTAGGGGTTTGGGGTTTAGGGTTTTGGGTTTAGGGCTAAGAAGATACTAGTCTTTAGAGGCTGGGCGGAATCCTCTACGAGACCACAAGCTGCGAAGCCCGCAAGCATGAACACTACCTAAACCAGAGCATCATATAAACTCTATAAGCCCTAAAGTGCATAGAACACTAAAACCCTAAGAGAAAACACAAACAACACCTAAAACCCCAATAGAAGTGCACAAATCCCGAAGTCGTACTTGGCACTACTTGGCTTTGTTATGGCGAGACCCCGTGAGTTTTCTGGAAAAGGCAAGGTGACTCCCTGCAGAAAGCGGCTTGTCCCCGGTTAAATTAGGTAGAATAGGGTTTGGGCGAATTACCTATACTATCTTGGGGGCTCCTTATTCCCATTATGGTATAATGGGCCCCAACACCCTATTCTAATTATTACGGCCCCTATATAACAACAGCGTCACGTGCTGTTAACACCGGGGGACTTTGTCAACATCTCTCAGATGTCAGGGTCTGAAGTTTGAGTTCATAGACTATGAAAACACTATGAATCATAGTGTTACGAAGGATTCCAGGTTCACAGAGCCTTGATTGGACTTCCTTATGTTGGTTAGATTAGTTTCTTACTTTCAGCATCGGAATTACTAATGTCATCCAATTTCATGGTCGTGGTAAGCATTAAATTCGGAGGCTTCGAAGAGCCAGCAGCGGCGGTGCTTCTGCATCAGCCAGAAGATGGAGTCTGAGACAGGCGGCTTCGCTCTAAGTTTGAGTGCGTTCTCTTGAGGATGTCTGCTGAATCTGGGGAGGGACGAGAATCCCTGAACCGTAAATCCCTGATCTCCGAGACTCGGCACCCCTGAAACCCAAGACCATGAGCAAGAACCACGAAGCCCTAAACCCCAAACCCT